TCTCCCAAGTCTACTCACACTTTTGAAAGCTCCACCCAAAGGCTTGCGTTTCTTTCTTTTTTTTTTTTTAGAATAAAGTTCTGCATTTTTTTGGCAGACTTTTTTTTTTAAGATGCATTTATTTATTAATACAAGCACTGGGTACAGTCAGAAGCGCAGGAGGGTGAGAGAATTCACCAGAGCAGAGAGCAGAACAGGCAGACTGACGAAGTACACTGCTGAGGGGAGCAGCAGGCGCTGCAGGAGAGGTCTGCGCACCATGTGGGACCCTCGCCAGTGGCTGGGGTTCGAACCTGCGCTGCAGTGGCTGAGGGCAGCTTCGCAGCTCAGCGCTCAACTGCTGTGCCACCAAGGGAGGCCCGGCTTGCGTTTCTAAGGATGGAATTTCAGGCTGCACTGAGGATGGAGTGGAGCATCTCTCAGTGTGGGGGCAGGTACGGAGCTCAGAGGGCAGCCTTTAATGGTAGTAAGGGGCAGCGGATGGGGGCTGGAGGGAGGTGTTGTGGCTACCTCAGGCTTGGAACTGCGACTCACAACTCACCCAGCAGCTGGGGAGCTGGCCTCTGTGAGCTGCAGCTGGGCCACATGTAAAGTGAGGATTGAATGCAAGAGACAAGTGTGGCAGGTCCTGCAGCCCCCAGCCCAGTGAGCATGAACACTCTGCTCAGTGTGGGAAGCACCCCACACCCCATCCTGGCCTGCTCTGCAGTGGCCTTGTCCTCCTGCCTGGAAAAGCCAGTCAAGCAAAGTGGGCCTTGGGCCTGTAGCCCCGGGCTGTGTGTGCGCTGTGGCGGTCTTGGTCCCCGAAGCCGGAGAGAGTAGCACCGGTGATGGATAGTGGCAGGCAAATCGTCTTGTTATTTTTGGTCTGAAGAATTTAATTTGCCTCACCTGTCACCGATTACAAAAGCTGCTGAGCCTACTTACAGCTCAATTAGCCATAATTGAGGTGGGAGGGGGCTGGAGCAGAAGGGGAAATGCAGGGGGAAACGTGTGCATGTGTGTGTGTGTGTGTATATGTATGCCCGTGTGTGCATGTGCCCGTGTGTGTGTGCTCATGCGTGCTTGGGCTGGCTGTGCGGCAGGGCTGAAGCGGGGCAGGTGGGGGAGTGGACGCTGTGGGAGCAGAGAGGCCGCACTCAGGGAGGCGGTGGATGGGATTCTAACTGACTCCCCTTTGGCACTGGCTTTTGGTCAATGTCATAGGCCGGTTCCTCCCCGGCCTGCTCCGCCACACCCCCTAGCAAATCCCTCTTTGTTCCTTTCTTCCCACAGCTGCGCCCTCTCTCTCAAGGGTGTTCCCCCACAAGCCAGCCTTTTGGAGTTCAGAGGCCTGGAGAAAAAGCCGGGAGTGGCGGGGAGGCAGCTGCCCAGAACAAAGTCAGCTGCGACCTGGGACACCACAGTCACTGATGGCAGCTTGCAGCAGTGACAGTCTGCTAGCGAACAGTCGTCAGTATGGCAACAGACAGTTAGGGTCGTGCCCTAAAAGTCGTAGCGCACTTCGGCTAGCTTTCAGTGGACATCATCTCAACTAATTGTCACAACACCCCTCCGAAGCGCAGGGAGGTTGGGGAACCGAGCCAACATCACACAGCTCAGCAGCGTGGATTCTGGAAGGGACTCAGCTAGCTCTGACTCTGCAGGTGAGACACCTGGCCCTGCCTCACTGCCAGCTCGTGGCTCAGGGCAGAGCTCAGCCGGGCGGCACAGCGGGTTTTCTCATGAAAGCCCTTTATTGAATTTAGAGGCAAGGTCACCGTGAGGTTCCAGGGAACGTGCCTCGGCCTGTGGGTAGATTCGCTTACCAAGGTTGGTGCTGGGACCATCAAGGAAAGAGAACTGGGGGCCAGTTAAAGGGACTGAAATCTATCTTGAGGTCAGTGCGGACCCCAGAAGTGCCAGCGAAGGCAGCGATGCAACAGACGGCACTGTCAGGGTGAGCTGGATGTGGTGCGTCCCCGGATGTAACGGAGAGTGGAGCCCACTAGAGCTGTTGGGGTGACTGGTCTGTCATTCGCTGACTGTGTCCTCTCCTCTCTGGACCTCTCTTTTGATATCTGTGAGATGAGGTGGTTGAAATTAGGGGTATCCTAACTTCAATTAGCCATCATTGAGGTGGGAGGGGGCTGGAGCAGAAGGGGAAATGCAGCGGGAACCGTGTGTGCGCGTGTGTGCCCATGTGTGCTTGGGCTGGCTGTGCGGCACCTAAGTGCCACACTTTCTGTGCCACCTAAGTCACCCTGACTCAGTGGCTTAATGAGCTCATGGTTCTTAGATCAGGATTCTCAGGATTCTGGAAGGGCAAGTTGGAGACAAGTCTGCTCCACGAGGGGCTGGCTCTGGATCATTTATTGCTCCCAATTTCAATTTCCCGGGGTATCCTGTGATTCTTCTGATGTCCTCAGCTGAGCCAGCAGGAGGAAGAAAAGAGAATGGCAGCGAGGGCTTTAAGGAGTGGCTTCCATGGGTTCTCAGATCTGACTGGCTGGGGAGGATGATGGAAAGGCAGGGGTGTGTGATGGCTCCACACCGCAAGCAGATATTGGAACACTGGCGATATCCTGGGGAAACAGTCTGCATTATACAGTAAGCTGACCCGCCCCGCCCACACAAACATAAAAAATAGGTATATGTGAATGAATTCCTTGAAGCTGAATGGGACCCTCGCCAGCAGCCGGGGAACGAACCGGCGCTGCAGAGGCTGCGGCCAGCCTCGCAGCCCAGAGCTCAACCGCTGCGCCACCAGGGGAGGCCCGGAAGAAGCTTTTTTAACTTTGGCATCCATGAAAGGATTGTGGCAGCTCACAACATTCATGTCATTTTTACATGTGGAAGAATGCATTTGACACTTAGACTTTTCTCTGGCCTTCATAGGGAAGCAGAGCATGGCGCTCCTGTCTGAGGAGAGCGAAGCCAGGCTGGACAGTCCTTGGGCAGAGAGGCTCGGGGGCAGGACGGACAGAGCTGATCAAGAGGGTGTCTGCTGAGGCCTGAGAGAGGACAGGATTTCCAACGAGACTTGGGGGTCCAAGTTAGGAAAGGACAAACCTGGGCAGAGTCTCCCAAAATATGGACATGAGGGCTCACTTGTGGCTCTCCAGCTCTCCCTGCACACAGCCCCCTCCCCACTCTCCCAAGACAGCAGCGCTCTGCACAGCTGTCGCCTTGTTGAGCTCCCTCATAACACTTAAAATAATGGAAGTCATCAGCTTCATTGTTTACTTCCAGAATGTGAGCTCCATAAGGAGAAAGGCCACTGGCTGCCGTTCACCTGTCTTTCTAATATTCAAGTAGGAGCTCAACAAATACCTGCTGGATGAAAACATGCGTGTACGATGGACATGACCAAACTTCAGAGAAATTTGGGGGCAGCCTGACCCTCCTCACATAACTCAGAAGGCACTTACAGCAGAGGCTGGTTGGGACGACAGGTGGTCTGGCCTCCTCACAGGCGCCGTCTGCAGCTCAGTGAGACACCCTGAGACCGGGCTCCGGGGCTGCTGATGCTCCAGCTGCCTCTTTGCGAGGGAAGGAGTCTCTCTCTCTCTCTCTCTCTCTCTCATTTCCCATTTTGCTATTTTCTTCTAAAATAAAAGCAGGTTTGAGAGGGCTCCACGCCTTGCATCCCGGGCAGCACTCACAGGAATTGGGGTGGGAGGACCTTGGCTGTGGCTTTCCAGCCCCTCTCCTTCCCCAGGGCCCTGCTTCTCTGGGGTTCCCAGTTCTTAGATGAGGAGAAGGCTGTTGGAGTTTCCAGTAAGGGTATCGCTGGTGGGCATTTTAGTTATCTATTTCTGTGCCACCTAAGTCACCCTGACTCAGTGGCTTAATGAGCTCATGGTTCTTAGATCAGGATTCTGGAAGGGCAAGTTGGGGACAAGTCTGTTCTGCGTGGGGCTGGCTCTGGATCATTTGTTGCTTCCAGTGGGAGCCTGGTGACAGGCCTCCTCTTGCTCCATAGTCTGTCCAGCAGATGAGGGGGGCTTCTTACATGGTAGCTAAGTGGACGCAAGAGTATAAAACTGGAAACTGCCAACCCTTCTAAGCGTGAATCCGAGCCTGTGCTGAACTGAAAGAGGGGAGCATCGTGGAGAGGCAATTAGGGGGAGGCATGTTTCAGTGAGTGGCATTACGTGAAGCCTCCCAGCCACTCCTTTGCCTCAAATTTGGAATTACACAGATATGTACTCCTGTCCCAGCTCAGTCACTCCACAGATGACCTTCGGGGTACTCCGAGGCTCAGCCCTCCTGGGGCTTCCTGTCTCTCCAGTCTCTTCCCTCACCGGCCCTATGTGTGCAGGTGGGGAACCAGCCTCTGCTGGGGCGAAGACCTGCCCTGGGGTGTAGCTTGTCTTTCCCTCCTCCCTCACCCCTCTTGTGTCCTGTCTGTCCCCCCCGAAAGCCCTCTCTGCCTGCCACTTTCCTGACACCCCAGCCTGTACTGATCTTTCCCACCTCAGAAGTATTGTCATGCGTCCAGGGCTGCCCCACGTTCCAATTTCCTCTTTACACTTTCCTTCTGTCTTCTGCCATCTGTGTAGAAACCCTGTGAGCCTAGACCCTGAGCCCAGAGCAGTAGGGAATGCTTGTCAAGGTGAACAGGGCAGGCTGGCACCGAGAAGGCTGGCCAGATGGCCACTGTCATGATGGCACCTTCCCAGCTGGGAGGCCCGGGTAGAGGCCATAACAGGTGCTCTGGGCCCCTGCCAAGTGGCCCAGGAGCTGGCTTGGAGGTGAGCAGCTGTGGGTGCATGGCCTGAGCTGTCTTTGCAGACGGCCATGCCTCTCGGTCCCCTTTTCACTCTCCTCAGGGTTAGCCCCGGGCCCATGGGGTTGGTGAGAGGCAGGGGCCAGCTTGAAGTCTACCTGGTGCCAAGGCCCATGCTTTCCTGCCAATAATGCCCTCAGAGAGGCTGTCCCCACCTCCTTTGCCAAGGGCAGGTACATCACCCATAGCCAGGGGTGGAGGGTAGCTTGGGTAGACAAATATAACTAAAAACAACATGAGAAATGGCATTCTTTATTCATAAATAAAAACATAAAATTACCAGAAATAGTTTACATGGCAAAAAGGGGCATCAAAAATAAAACAAAGCTGTCAAAAGTAAAGCAAACCAAACAAGAAACAACCAAGAGGAAAAACCATATACAATTCTTCCAATGCCAGACCATCTGAAGCCAGCCCCGGTGGGCTCCAGCCCTGCCACAGACGCAGCCCCAAGGCTGACCACACAGGCCAAGGAGTGTCCACGCAAGCAGGGCTGTGGCCTCTGCATGGCAGCACCATCTCAGGACTGAGGGCCCACAGGGAAGCCTCTCGCACAGCTGCTGCTCCCATAGCCCCCACCCTGGCTTAGCCCCGAGAGCAGGGAGATTCTTGGCAGGGGTCAGGGCTCCACAAGCCTTTGCCTGGGGGGAGAGCGCCCCCAGCCCTCAGAGAGTTCAGTGCTCATGGGACCTAGTGTGTCCAGCAGTTCACTCAAAGGGCCCAAAGTCAGCAGAGATACCTGCAGATCTCCTGCGAGGGTCTGGTCATCCCAAGGCCCTGAGGCAGAATCCCCTCCTTGGTGACTAGACACTGGTGCTGAATGGCACTCCGCAGACAGCCGGAGCATTTCTGGGCCAGACCCTCTCGGGGGAGCAGAGTGGCCTGGCTGAGCGAGCAGCTGCCAGCATGCGTGGTCAGAGGGGCAGGGAGCTCATGCTGGCCCCCGGCCTGCCCGCTCCCTGCTCCACCTCATTCTTCAGAGCCCTCTTCCAGAGATCCTGGGTTTGGCCTCATCCAGGCACAGTAAGTTTTTCCACAGGGAAGGGGAGAAAAACCACATGGTGGCAAGTCACTACGTCACGGGATACCGCTGCACTCTGCCATCACCCCAGGCTACATAGGCCTTGGGCTGGTGGCAGTCAGTGGGGTTCTGTGGGGTGGTCTGGTTCAGGGCCATGGGGATGTGGGGTCACAACAGGGGCACACTGAGGTGAGTCCCAGGTTTTTTTTACCTGAGCACCCTCCCCTGGGCTTAGCACCCACCTCTTCTCAAGGAAGGTCTTGCGGGCAGAGCGCTGAGCTTTTGGCTACTCTTTGGGAGGGAGGATGTCGGAAGGGGTATTTTGAGACTGGGGAGGGAGAAGCAGCCCCTTTTGCTAGCCCATGGGGCAGGTTCACCGGCAGAAAGGACTCCAACAAGGCACAGACTGGTGGAAATGGAGGGATCCAGGGCTGTGGCACAAGGAACGTGTGGCACAAGGGGCATCTTTGATTTGGGGGTTCTGCACTAAGCCCATGGGAAGGCAATGCCCCCCAGGAAGGGGAGGGGCTTTTGGCCCATTGATTTCAGGTACAAATCTAGCCTATCACTAAACAATGGCTTGAAATTCCAGAACACCTCCTCTGTCCTGTGAAGGCAGCAGGGACCACACGACCGAGACAACCACAAGGGAAGCTGGTTGCCCTCAGCCCAGGCTCCAGGAAGGAATGTGGTGGGCCCTGGGGACATGGTGGGGAGAAGACAAGGGACGAGAAGCGGCTCCCTGCGCCTACGCTGGATTCCTGTAAGGGCTGGTGGCTGGTCTGGAGGCAGAACCTTTTTGGTTCTCCAAATGCTAACTTTCCAGAGTTTCTCGTCCCTCCTACCTCACCACCCCTCTCGGCATGCAGGCACGAGGCTCAGGCATCCAGCAAGGGCTGGCTGTCCTAAGAACAGCAGCTGTGGCTACAGCAAAAATAGAACATGGAACAGCCTGGCTGCCTGCTAGATCTGGCTTGCTTCTGAAAAGACAAGAAAGAAGAAAGAAAAGTCCCTGAACCAAGCAACTGAGAAACGCCTCTTTTCCTTCTGCGCATCTTCAGGAGTCCTTCCCTTGCCCAGGAGCTGCCCAGACCCCCCGGGCTACAGCCCCTAGATTCTTTACAAAGGGGCTCATGAGAGGATGGAGGAGGCAGCCATGGGCCAGGGGCTGTGCAGAGCTAGGGGCTGTGCCTGAGCTTCCTTCTCTGCCTGTCCAGAGACTGGGGCCCCCTCCTGACCTACACTCTCGTCTGAACTCAGCCCTGGAGATGCCACTGTGCCACTGAGTGACCCCAGACAGAGGAAGGGAGTGGCCTGCACATCCCTGATGGACATAGGTTATTCCAGAAAACCAGTTTCGAGTAGCCACTGGCCAACTTGAGTCAGGCAGGGAAACCTCTACTCTGGCCCTGATGGAAAGATCAGGAGGCGCTTCCCGGCACAATGACAAGTCATGTCTCCCTGGGCCAGGTGGCTTCAATCTTCCCTTCCCAGCACGCACCCCAGCGCCTCATCGTCCATGGCTTTTGAAAGGGTGGTCACTGAGGTGAAGGCCAGAAGCCCCTGAGGCGGCTCACCTCCGGCTCGTAGGGCCATCACCTGCTGGTGCCTCCCTCCGGTCCCTCTGGGTCCCACAGGATCTAGCATGCCTGGGCCGCCTGGTGCTCCCCTTGCTTTATGGTGTTCTGGGGTCTGGGCAGGTCCAAGAGCTGAGCCAGGCTTCCCACGCCCACCCCAAGCCCCCACAGCCAGAGGAAAGCAGATCAGGAGATAGATGATGAGATCAGGTCCCAAGACTCTTCTCACCAGAGTCTTGGTGGCTTCTTGCTATTGCCAAGGCATCTCAGTGCACCCAGGGGAGAAAAAGCTGTGGGAAGAGACACGAGAGGGTTTCTGTCCTTGGGGGGGCCATGGCTTCATGGCACCATACCTGGAGAGGGCATCTCTAAGTATTTTGAACGAAAGCCAAGGTTTAGGGAGCCCTTAACCAAACGATGAAGATCCCTGGGCTCATCTCTTAAGAAAACTGGAGTCAGAGCCTAAGATCTAGGGGTGCTGCAGAGCCGATAAGCACTGAAAATCAGAAAGGGGGGGAGTGGCCCCATAGCAGCTCCTCCACTTCCCTTGTGGCTCCCAGGCCTGTGCCCTGGGGGTGGGGGCTTCTCTCCAAGTGGCCTGAGTTACTGAGCAGGAATATGGGGAGGGCTCAGCACCCCTACAACCCAATATCAGGTTCCTGTCTCTTCCTCTCTTGGGAGGCCCTTCAGATCTCTGTAGCAATGATGTCCTCATAGGGGATGTCAGCCCCTTCAAGGTCAATCTCAAAAGGCTCCCCTGCACCATCCCCATGGGCCATTTGCTGAAGGGCTTTTTCTAGGTGCTGGTTCCGCTGGTACATGGCCAGATAACTCTGCTGTAGCTGCTTCTGGTATTGGATCACCTTCTCCTTCTCCTCCTTCCACACCAGCCGCTCATGCTGGAAGCCCGAGGACATCTGGTCGTGACCTTGCCGCTCCTCCTTCAGCTCAGCGCGCAGGCGCTCCAGCTCCCGCTGCAGGGCAGGGATGTCCTCAGAGAAGGCAGGCCCCAGGCCCGCGGCATCCCTATCCCGCTGCAGGCTGGCCTGGGCCCGCAGCTCCAGCAGCTCCTGTTCCAGCAGGTTCACCTTCTCTCTCAGGAGCTCGGACTCGTTCTTCTTGCGCTGCAGCTCATTCTCGCAGACTTCCAGCTCGAGGCCCTTGGTACGCAGTGCGCTCTCCAAATCCTGTGTCTTCAGTTCCAGGCCCTCCAGCTTGGCCCTTGTGTCCTTCAGTTGTGCCTTCAGGCTGAGGATCTCACTGGCCTTGGCATTCACTTCCATTTGGGACTCCTTCAGTTGCTGCTTCAGGAGAGAGATCTCACCTGATTTCTGGCACACCTGTCAAGGTGGGGGTGGGGAAGGAGAGAGTGCCACAGGGTGAGGGCCTCACCCTAGGAGAGGAGACACCCTAATTGCCTGAGGAATTAGGTTGGCATGACCTGGTGCCTTGTGAGAATTTCCAAGTGGTCATCTGTGAAGACTAAGTCTCCCTTTGAGGCTCCTTTTATCCTCTGGTCTGATTTGGACTGTCCACATACCTGCTTCACTCTTAATTCAGAGACTAAATCTCAATCTGTGCCCAAACCCATGACTGTGTGCAAGTCAAAGATCAGTGTTTTATCTGCCACTGCAGCAGCTCCGTTATCCACATTTAATAGTAATGATATCCCTTTCCATATCTGCCAAATTTCTGTCATTCGTGTTTATGCCCACACCCTCTGATATCAGCCTACACATACCCAGCTCTCGTCACCTTACTGCCGGGAGAATACATGTTCATGGATGCACTGCTGCACCCCAGGGCTCGCACCATGCCTGCCTCAGAGGGAATGCCCAACTGATGTCTACCAAATGGCAGGCTACTACCCCAGTCTGTCACCATTTCTACTCCTATTCTCCATCAAAGATTGACTTGGGCCTCCCTGGTGGCCTAAGGGGTTAAGTGATGCACTATGAAACAGTCTGCCTGTTCTGCTCCCCGCTCTGTCTCTGGTGAATCCTCTCACCACCACCCCCCCCCGCATCTCTGCATCTCTTGTATGCATAAATAAATAAATTTGTATCCCAGCTCTTGTATGCATAAATAAATAAATCTTTAAACAAAACAAAACAAAACAAAAAAAGATTGACCACGAGGGCCCCCCTTGTGGCACAAGGGTTAGAGATAGTGCTCTCAAGCTGTCAACAGCCACTGCAGCACGAGTTCGATCCCCAGCTGGCCAGGAGAGAAACCACATGGCACAGCAGACCTCTCCTGCCTTGCCAGCTGCTCCCCTCAGCAGTGTATTAAAAAAAAAAAAAATAGATTGACCACGAACAGTGATGGAAACCAAAGGCACTGAATCAGACCCATATGTCTCTGGGGTCTTGGCCATTTGGGATGAGTGGTGGCTCCAAAGATACTAGTACTTTCTATATGTGGTGACCTTGACCTTGGGTGGGTCACTATTTACTATCATAATCTCTGTGCCTTAGTTTCTTTGACTGTAAATTGAGGATAAGTAACAGTATCAATTTCATAGGTGTGTAATAAAGGTTTGATGAGAGAATCTAGGAGAATCTAGAAATAATAAATATTTCTATAAATTATTGTTATAAATATGCTTGTAATATGTTTATGTGTTGTTACAATCATTTAACTTATTGTATGTATTGTTTTGCTATGAAGCCTGACTGGACAACCTGGGGACAGAGTCACAGCAAAGTCCAGCTTCGTTCCAGGCCAGACATACAAGGACAAACACCGAACACCAGAACTAGCTTCTATCTCTGAGATGCCCCAGGAGGTCTCCAGTCCCAGCTGAGAGACCATGGCTGGGGCAGGGTCTCTACCAATTTCGAGGGAGGGGGGAAAAGCCCCATGGCTAACATCCCTTCCACTTCGGGGAAACCTGGCAAATAGAAAGTACTCTGCTGCCTCACTTCCTGAACGCCCCCCTCCATCCACAGAAAGACTCCTTTCTTATTCCAAATAATGTGGGTCACCCTAATATCCAGGGAAACACAGGAAGTGCCAACAGGTAGAACGTGCCACTGAGGGTGTGCCCCCAACCCGGGGTGGTGATGGTCTAAACAGACAGTGACGCTCACCCCTCCCTAAGACAGGGGTCCCTAAATGGGCTAAGGTGAGAAAAGCTACTTTCCAGTGAACAGGATGTGGAAGCTATGCTGCTCTCCAGCAAGGCCAGGCCCAGATGTCTCTTTGCCAAATGTCTGAGTGTCTCAGTGATGTTGAGAGTGTTTGTGTGTGTTGAGTGTGTCTAAGTGTGTAGGTGAGTGTGGCAACCTTTTCTTCCTCTTATGTTTCCATCTCAGCTCACCAGATAGAAGGTCCATGTACACTTGTGTGCAGAATAGTCACTGATGCCTGCCACGAGGGGGTTGTTCTTACTAGTGGATGAAGGCCCTTCCCTCAAAAGCAACAAACAGCATCTATGCTCTCTCCTGAGCTCTCGGACCAGCATGAACTCAGCAGGGCTCATGTATCTCTCAAGCCCCTAGAAGCAGAAGTGAGGGCCCTCAGATAGCCCTGCCAGGACTTGGTTCCAGCTTCTCAGTAAACTCAGATCCTGGTCCACAAGCCTCTGAGGGAAGGCGGCACCAGAAGCTCAGACTAAGCACACCTCCAATATTGCTGAATAGGCCCTCTTCGCACAATTTGCTGGGTAATTTGCACCCACACACCACTGGTAAGAACCTGGAGGTGAGGGGGCTAGCACCAAACACCTGACCGGCCACGCCCACCCCATCGACCTCACCTCCCACTGCGTCTCCTCCAGCGTGGGTACGAAGCTGGTCTTCTCCTTCTCATAGGACCTGAGCTTGGACTCCAGCAGGTCCTGCTCCTTCATGAGGCTCTCGAGCTCCTGCCTGAGCTGCCGCTTCTCCTGCTGGAGCTGCAGCACCTGGAGGTGCAGCACCTGCTGTGTGCGCTGGCTCTTCTGGGAGGCAGGCTTCAGCCTGCCGCTGCTTTTCTGCTCCAGGCCGTCCAGCTCCTCCTTGCAGCGCCTCTGCCGCTCCTCGTAGACCTGGCTGCAGGCCAGCTCCTTCTCCTCGAAGCTGCGCTGCAGCTTCTGCAACTCCCCCTCCCTCTCCAGCAGCTTCTGCTCCAGCTCCTGGATGGTGCACTCATCGGTGGAGATGGGGGAGCGGACACATGAGGAGCCCTTGTCCACTTTGCTTGGGTGGGCCAGCTTGCTGCCCCCATCAGAGAAGGACAGCGCCTTCAGGCTCATCATGTTGCTGTCCTGGAGGAGGATGCTCTGCGTGATGTTGTGGGCGGAGCCTCCAAAACGGCTGGTGGGCCCCACGGGGGTGACCAGCGGGTCCAGCTGGTAGCTGCTAGTGGTGCTGTGAGTGGGCAGGCTGGACATGGAGTTCCTGCCCGAGTCAGACAGGGCCCCGGAGCACAGGCCAGGCTTCAGCTCCTGCTCCTTGGGTTTCTCTGGCGGGGCAGGGTGCAGCTGGTGACTGGTGCTCTCCGGGGAGTTGTGGAGGATGGTTCCTGACCGGGGCAGCACGGGCTTGAAAGCTGTGGGCCTGACCACTCCCTTCTCTGAGCCCTGGGGAGAAAAAGAACCATTGGTCCTATGCCCCTCCCACAACAGTTCCCTCAGCCTCCCTCCGCCCCCCGCCCAGATATGTGTGCTGGCCACAGGGTCTCCTTCCTGGCAACCTGGCCTGTGGCTCTGAAACAGCGAATGTGGTGAAAGTCTTCTGCACCAAGAGATGACCTTAATGATGACCAAGGCACCGTATTCCATGAGTTACCCACTTGTCACCCGCTCATCCTAGTCCTCCTGCCTGAACAGCATTTTCAGCAATAGTGCTGCAAGCATTTTCAGTAATCCCTGTACTGGGGTCCAGCTCTGGGTCTCTGTGGTGTAGGGTAAGGGCATGAGGCTGGACACTCATGGCTTCCCGGCAGAAAAACCTCTTTTCATCTTCAATGCCTTTGCCCAGCAGACCAGGAGTGAGGATGCTGACCAGGGCCTTCTCCAGGGGCTGGGAGGATCACTAAAAATGACAATGCTCTTCTGAAAGTGTCATTTGCATTGGTGAGTACTTTGCACATTTAAAGTGCTTTAGTCTGAGGGCCTCCCTGTGGCTCAAGGGGTTAAGCACTGCACTATGAAGCAATCTGCAGCCTCTGCAGCATGAGTTCCATCCCCGGAGCAGCCCACATGGCGCAGCAGACCTCTTCTGTCTCGCCCGCTGCTCCCCTCAGCAGTGTATTTCAGTCAGTCTGCCTGTTCTGTTCCCCACTCTGTCTCTGGTGAATCCTCTCACACCCCTCATCTCTGGCCTGTATCCTGGCTCTAATATGCATAAATAAATAAATCTTTAAAAAAAAATAAAGTGCTTTAGTTTGGAAAGCTTAATGATCTATGCAAACAGTGGGATCATTTTCAAATATGTCAAAGTCGTGGATTCATTCCCTCAGGATGGGGCCAGGGACTGAATAAGAAAATTGTTTTCATGGTGGTTGCATGAGAGTTGGAGCTGGCACGAGGACTGAACCTCTGAGCACACAGGACTTTTGCCTCCGTCCCTACTGAATTGACTGTGACAGTGAACTCAAAAGTCCTCACACAGTGCAAAGCCTCTCAGGGAAGGCTCACGTCCATGAGTGTGCTAGTGAGGGCATCTGCTAGCTCTCTCCCTTTTCCATGCATTTGAAAATGTTGCTGTTGATCCTGCCTGCACAGTTCAGAGGTACATCCCAGTGGCACTCAGAGGCTTGCACTTCCCCTATGCCATTTTGCATAAGAGCTCACCCAGGACCTCTGGATCTAGGGCTTGACCAGAGCTTCAGTTCCCTTGTCCACACTCCAGTCTGGGTGTTAAGACTCAGCACCTCTGTCCTTACCACTGCTACTCTGGTCCTTGTAGATCTGAATGTCCAGACCACCATGCCATCCCACCCAGCCTCCATGCTCCCCACCCACTTCTGCTCTCTCCTGCTTCTCCACCCCAACCACCTTCACCAGACCTCCCCACCCACCACTTACCATGTCTAGCTGATTGGAGAAGGGAATGAGCTTGGGTGGGGTGGATGGGCCAAAGTCCAGCCCGGCCTGGCCCCCCATGTCCCCACTGGACAACACAGTGTAATCTGGGTGGTGGGAGCCCCGGGCCTTCTGGCTGACCTTGATGTAGAAGAAGTCTTCACTCTTGCCCATCTTGGAGCTGGATTTGCCATGACCTGAGTCCTGGGAGAAGCCAAATTTCAGCAGCCCATCAGAATACCGGTTGAGCTTCTTGAGGTGGGAGGACTTGCGCAGCTTGTACTGGGAAGCCCGGCAGTGCTTGCTGTGGAAGCTGTGGCCAGAGATGAGGCTACTGACGCTGCCCATGGTGGCTCAGGGTCAAAGACGCGCAGGGCAGAGCAGGCACCTGGTGTGACTGTGGCAGCAAGAGGCAGGCCTGGCTCCAAGAGAGACTGCAGTCATAGCAAAGGCCTCACAAAGCCTGGGAGAACCGAAGACCTAGAAGGAGGGCAAGACAGAAGTCAGTGAGATGGGGCAGTCACTGTGCCAGTTCTGGCGCTCCAAGGTTAGCTCTTCTGACCGGTGGACCTGGGTAGCGGGGAAACATCCATCAGCTCAGTCCTGTCCTGGTTATCAGGGCCATTCACTCATTCTCCCTTTGTCTGCTAGTCCAATAAACATTCACTAAGAGACTATTCTAAGCATTGGGAAGCAGTAATGCTGCAAGTGTTGCACTCACCAGCTTACGTTTAGTGTAGTGTGGACAGGCCATAGCCAAATCAATGGACGCTATGTCAGGGCTGTACGCACAATGGGGATAGTAAAGCAGAATGAATGGGCTGGAATTCTGGGAGGTGGCTGTTTTATACAAGGGAGAACTCTGTTTGGGTATCATCTGAAGAGACATCAGGGAAAAGCCATGTGGGACTTTGGGGGCAAAGGAAAATGTCCAGAAGAAGTGCAAGAACAAAAAGTCCTGAGCCTCTGGAGTGGTGTGCTCTTGGCATATGTGAGACCAGCAAGGATAGCAGCTGGCTGGAGAAGAGTGAGAAGCAGAGGTCAGAGAGCACAGGCCACAGGCCACACGGAGCCTGGCTGACCAGAAGCGCTTTGGCTTCACTCTCAGGGAGGGAGCAGTGCCTGGCTCTAAGCAGCTGATAATCTGATCTGACCTTGGAGATGGAAGGTGGAGGTGCCTCTGCTACTGGGTGGCCGGGAGGCTGTTGAGGGGCTTGGGGGCAAGTGGTTAGCCAGTTACAGTAGTGAGTGACTAACGTGGCTAAGGTAGTAGCTAGGGATTACATTTTAAATTGTAATTTTAGGGCCAAACTGATAGGATTCATTAAATGCTTGGATGCAGGGAGTGGGAAAGAGAGACATCAAAGATGACTTGAAAGTTTTTGTGCAACCACCTAGAAGAAGAGGGCTGCCATTTGCTGAGATGCAAAAGAATACACAAGGAGCCGGGATTGGAGGAGGTGGGGGTGGAAAATAGGAGTTTGGTTAAAGACATGAAGTTTTCAAAGCCTATTCGACATCTAAGGAGTGATACAGAGTAGGCAGGAGGATGGATGGGGAGGTGAGGGGGCTGCAGATTTCCATGATGAAGTTGTTAGGGGAAGAAACCAGCTGTGAGACTAGCTGAGGTCACTAAAGAAGTTAAGGCAAGAGGCGGAAGGAGGAGGAGAAGCTCCAGCAGAGAGGCAGGAGACCAGAGGAAGCAAGTGAGGAAACTGTCTCATGAGGACAATGTCAGAGCTGCTCAGGTGAGGTCCTGTGAGGACTGGTCAGTGGATTTTTCCTAGTGACGCCAACAAGAGCGATTTTTGGGGAAAGAGCGCTCTCACCAGAGAGGGTTCGGGGGTGGGGGGAGGGAACAGTCATACCCTTGAACCTTGACCCATGTGGTAGGCTTGACTTGCATTCCCATAGTGGCCACCACCAGCTCTGACATGTGAGGCAAACTCTTTAACATTTTTAACTTCCAGTTGCACAAACCAACTCTTGGAAACCCTTACACATTTTTAAGAAGTATCAGGAATGCAACTTTTTAAAAAATATTTATTTATTTATTTATGCATAGAAAAACTGGGGTGTAGGCCAGAGGCGAGGGGAGTGAGAAGATTCATCAGAGACAGAGTGGGGAGCAGAACAGGCACATTGACTGAAACATACTGTTGAGGGGAGCAGCAGGCAAGACAGGAGAGGTCCGTTGTGCCATGTGGGTCAGCTCCCTGGCCGGGGATTGAACTCAGGCCAAAGCGGCAATAGCATGATAGTGCTGAGACTTACCCCTGTGCCACCAGGGAAGCCCAGGAATGTATCTTTTAATCAGTGCTTAAAACAATAGCTGTGCCAGTCACCGGGCAGAGGAGTGGACAGAGGCATGCAGTGCTGGCACAGTTGTGGTTGCAGACACCTGATCTGCCAAGCTACAAGTGCTGTGTGTTATGCATTGTGAGGCATCTTTCTCAGTCAAAAGATAGATGATCCAATTAAGAGGCAGGGGCTACACATTTAATAAGATAGGAAATGCAGAAGGAATACCGTGTTCTTTATTCTGCTGTAAATGACACTATCAATCCTAAAGGGACTCGCCAAGCCCCAGGTGGGTGATGGAGAGTGATGAGCACAACAGAAGGGAGCCTCCGGTATGAAGGCGTGGATTCAAATTTGCATTGTTATCCTCAGAATAAAATGGTTATATTATGAATAAACACTTTCTATTCCATTAGCAAAATCATGATACAATGAAACACCATTGTGTAATCTTCAGGCATATTTTTTCTATGAAAAACTTCTATTAAATTGATGTTCTCATAGAATGAAGGAAACACAGTAACACCTACCTCATTAGAGAGTTTTGTGAACTTTCTGAGACTCTACTATAAGCTGACGGGTTTGCTACATTATAGTATGTCCAGTACAGAGAAGACAAAAATGGTAGGTGTTTGCATTGGTACTTACTAGATTATTATTCTTGTTTTCTCAGCATCCATTTTCCCAAAACCAAAACTATCTTTAATGCCCCATCACACTTTCCAGAACTAATGTACCCCCTTCCAAATACAACTTTCCTGCATCCCTTATTCCAAGTGCTACTCAGGAGTATGGTGTTCCTCTGTTAATTGAACAGTTGCCGATGACAAAGTGTGTTTTTATCCCCTGGGTCATCTATCTCTTGCTTTTCAAGTCCTATACAGCAAAAACCCTACTATGCTCCATATGCAGGGGAAGCTATTTTGGCCAAAAGACTCCGCTGCTCACTGTAATTACACCACCTGGACTGCTGATGACTCACTTCTTGTCCAGCCGACATACACTTAGGAGCATCTTAGACAGCACTGTAGAAATGAGGCCATTGGATCAGCATCAGACAGATTTAGATTTGAAAATTCACCTTGCTGAGATTTCTTCACTTACAAAATGGAAATATTGACTAATTTCATAGGACCAGGAAACACACTAACAGGAGCCAGATGCAAGGCTTGGCAGGCAGACCCATGTGGTGGCCCTACAGACGTGACGAAGCTCTGGCATGTGTGTGATCAGCAGCAGCACAGGGCCAGGTGTGGCTGTCAAGAGGCATATGACAGGGTCCATGTGTAAGTATAACTTGGGGCAGACGTGCCCCATGAATTTATGACTCTCCTGCTCCACTGTCTCCCCTTTTTACCCAGACCTTGAGATTCATCTTGGCCCTATCTGTTCACCCTAAGCATCTGAAGTGTCACATTCACACTCCCTGGTGAAAAGCCTTCATGATTCCCCACTGCTCTTGAGGCAGAGCAGCCTCCCTACCTGTCCTCCAAGGCCCGAGTCGGTGCTGGTTGGCCCAGCTCTCCAATCCCACCTCCCATTCTTGCCTTGCTCACATATGCAATGATAGCCTCCCGGGTTTCTTTCAGGTTAACTGAATACACCAAGTCGTCCCCACGCCCCCTCCAAGAGCTCGCCCTCCTGCTGTTGCCTCTGCCCACAGTTCTCTTCACACTGATTGCCTTCTCCTCCATAGTTCTCGCTTCATCTATCACCTCCACAAGATGTTTTTCTCCAGTTACCCTTGGAAAAGCCCTTCTCCCCCATTACTCTGTTTTACAAACTGTTAATTTCCTTCGTAACACCTGTCTTAACATGTAATAATCTTATTTTTTAATTTGATTGTGTATATCTGCACCAGAACATAAGCTCTCTGAGAGCAAAGACTTTGTATGTACAGCTTTGAGAATAAAAGTGAGGACAAAGTGACCTTGGAGAGGTCAGAGGATGTGGCCCTTGTCTTTCAACTGGCCAGTGACCAAGGTGGGATTTGAAGCTAGACCCAAATTCCTTAGCTTCAGCAACCTGCTGGGACTGCAGGGAAGGCTCAGCAATGTGAAGGGTCTATCCTGAACAGCAAAATGTCTCCCTGGCTGGGGGAGAGAAAGCCAAGAGGATCGAGCAAGGGCCATGGCCAGTCACCAGAGCTTCATTCCCTATGGGGTTGATGCCAAGGTTTTGGGTGCAGGTAAGCAACTTGGTCCACCCAAGCAGCAGCCTGGATGACCGTGCTGCCAAGCACTGTGCTAGGCCCTAAGGGTGGAGAGGCGCAAAGGAGAGGAGCGGGTGAAGTTGGTGTCTCTGTCCAAAGTGTAAGCCCCAGATAAGCACCCTGCACTCCCCAGGCCTCAACACACAAAGTCCTTCAACATAGGACTTTGAAGCAAAATGAATCATCTAAAGTATCTGGACTTGTTCCATTTGCTTTGTTTTTTTAAATTTATTTTATTTATTCATGCATACAAGAATTGGGGTACAGGCCTGATATGTGGGGAGTGAGAGGATTCACCAGAGACAGAGTGGGGAACAGAACAGGCAGACTGAAATACACTGAGGGGGGCCTCCCCGGTGGCGCAGCGGTTGAGCGCTGGGTTGCGAAGCTGCCCGCGGCCTCAGCGGCGCTGGTTCGATCCCCGGCTGCTCCCCGGCCACCAGAGGAGGGTCCCACATGGCGCGCAGACCTCTCCTGCCGCCCGCTGCTCCCCTCAGCAGTGTACTTTGGTCCTTCTGCCTGCTCTGCTCCCGGCTCTGGCTCTGGTGAATTCTCTCACCCTCCCGCGCTTCTGACTGTACCCAGTGCATGTATGAACAAAACAAACAAACAAATAAATAAATAAAACATGCCTCTATAAAAAAAAAAAAAAAAAAAAAAAAGAAATACACTGACGGGAGCAGCGGGGAGACAGGAGAGGTCTGCTGTGCTATGTGGGTTAACCCATTGGGGATGGGTTAGCTCCCTGGCCTGGGATGCTACAGTGGCTGCGGACAGCTTCATAGTGCTGAGACTTAACCCCTTGTGCCACCAGGGAGGCCCTGGACTTGTTCCATTTTCAACTTGGAGTGAACTTCACAGCAAGCTTTGCTGTGACCCATCCCAGTTCCAAACCTATCCCCAACCTGCAGACTTGACGCCCCTGCCCTCAGGAAAGCCAAGATAAAGGGGGCACATATTTTTCCTC